TGTTATTGGGAAATAGAAATTTGTATATTTTTAGGAATGCTTTAAGTTTATTGCCAATATTTCTGTAGTAACATGCACGTATAAAAACATAACTTTCTAAAATGAAAAATATAAGAATACCTTTATGAAGATTCTGTGCACTATATATACAGGTTGAAATAATTAAAGAGCATTCTATTGACACAAGACCAAACTATCCAAACATTAATTCGCTTCTTTCTACATACACACGAATAATCAGCTGTTCATAATATTACATCACATAGTATTATAAGTGTTTTGACAAAAGATAAGATAACATACCAGAAAAAACCTGACCACACCAGTTTATGTAAATAAGCGTAGTTTAAATTTACGTAAAGAATCGAGAGTAATAATTTGATATCACATATTGTTTAATATATATCATGGTAGTATCACAAGAAAATATTGGTCACCCTAAGCTTACATAAAATGTCATTGCGATAGCATCTCAACTGGCGCCCTTTTGCGCCACACATTAGCATCTGAAGAAACTACACGTAATACAATTTGACATTGTAGTCTTTACACAACAAAGGAATGACCTGACATCGTCTTATCAGTGACTCGCTCTACCAACTTATCTCATTCTATTCCTGCACAAGAAACTCTTTATATTGTACAAGACTACTCATATTTTCAAGAGCAAAATGCGTAAAGTCACAAGTATCTTTGTTCATCTTGGTGGTAGGAAGGAATGAAATGAATTTTAAAGTAACTTCCTCAAAGGATACTGACTTAAAAGATTTGTTTGTTAATCGCATCATAATGATATTGTCAGTAAAACTGAAAAGTGTAAATTACCTTCAGTTTTAAATGTACGAGTAAATTACCTTCAGCAATTTGCAAATGGCAATTATGTGTATTGGATTTTCAATAGACGACCAACAGGTTGATAGTATTGCAGCATCGTCAAGAAACCGACGATAAACGTTATTGTTTCATAAAAGTCTTATAAATATATTTAAATGTGGTTAAGGTATTTTTGTATTTATTGATAAAGGAATTAAAATGACTCTTCAACAATAAACTAAATGCAAGCAGGAAAAAATGAGTGCTTAGTTAGCAGACTTAGCAACAGTAAATGTTAGCATTCAATTATGATAAGATCTTTCTAAGATAGGTGGGCTGAATTTTCTTGGTACCTACTATAAATTTAAAAAAAAAACACGAAATAAAACTATAGATATCGGATGCATTTTAAATCTATTACCGACAAAGCCCGTTATGTCTTCGTATTAAGTATTTTTCTTTACTACACAATGTTCTACGTCATTTGTTTACAAAAAATGTATTATTTAGCTGCTGTTTATTTAGTGTCGTTGTTCGTAGCTTGACGGTTGAAAATATGCAATCTTATTTGCTTTTTGTCATAACAAATAGCATTTTACTAACAGTAACTTTATTTTCAAATTTTATTTCTTTGAGTTACGAAAAAGGTGTTTGTCTTCAACTCACCTGATGGAAAGTAATGGTAAAGACGAAGATGATAGACATCTATCTAAGAAAAACGTATTCAAACTACTCGTAAACGTTTCGAATTTACAAAAATCAGGTTTTTTTTATTAAATTAAGTGAAAATGCTAGAACAGCAGATATAAATAGGTCGTCCGATTGCTTTATTCCTTTTCTAATAGTTACTAATGTCCTTACAGTAGGAGGTGCACGATCGGCCACAGCATTTGAAGTAATGTATCATTCAAAACGTGTCGCGAGAATCAGTTGCATATTCGATGTGCAGTCTCACGTCTTCCGTACAATGGCTTACTACTAGCATAAGATTAAGTGTAGCGACGATGTCACCTTCACGCTTTGTACAAATTGCATGCGAATCACAATTATTAACGTTACTTACATACATTGTTAACAATTTAAGTGTCTCAAAATTATTCTCAAGTAACTGAAAATTTACTTACGTGTTTCGTTTATTAGACATTAAAGATTTAAAAGATCTAGATAAATTGATTGAATTCACAAGCAATAAATTTGATAACTCTTGGTTTTTCTAATATACAACTAATTTGAAGAAAATAACAATAGATGTACTATTAAGACAAATGTAGTCTTTTTAACCGACTTCAAATACACAAAAGAGGAGGTTATCAATACGGCTGTATTTTTTTTTTGTACGTTTGTATTATATCCTAAACTAGGTACTGTAGTCTAAGATAGTGTCTGAAACATGATTTATATGCAAATTTAATGGTACTTTAATATTACAAATAAAATAACAGATTTAGTGCAAGTGATTAATAAGGAACTTTTGATACTATCAGACCTTATACTTAGAAACCTTTTATGCTAGAAAAGAAACGCTGTTGATATTAGTATTTTTTGTCAAATGTAAGCAATTGCTTTATTTATTCAACTGGAAAGGAAGATACGATAATTTTGTGGAACAATATTGACGTTTGATTCTTGCGCAGTATAAACATGTCATTTCAATTTATCACTGCTGGGATTAAATTACATTTTCTCCTAGTCATGATTAGATCAGACTACATTTAATTCCAAATCCTCCTCCAAGTCTACTTTCCTCTTCGTCCTCTGCTACTCCAATAAAGATTACTGTCACTTAAATATCCCATGCCATAAAAGTTTCGAAATTAAATTGTTGTATTAGCTTCCACCATTGTAACGAGCTGTGACGTTTTACCTTCTGAATATTTATCGACGTTTAGTTGTTCAACTAAATACGTATGTTCCGAATCGATAATGCTGAATGCCCAATTAAAGTTTGTTGATTGTTTCGTGGCATTTGATAATTGGTTTTTTTTATAAACTTTCCCGTTTAGTTGCTGCTCTAGACCCTACAGGTGTATAGCCTTTTTTATTCAGACTTGTCTTTTATTTACTTTTTCAATCATTATACATATTTTAGGATTACATTTTGCACTGCCAAGAAACATAAAATTATTTTCTGAATCTGTAATTAAAAGAATTTCTAATGAGTTTGTTCATTTAAATTGCTTTATATGGTCGATTCACAGATATTCAACATTGGACAAAATTATATGATCCTACAGTAATTACAATTGTTGTAACATCACAATAAACAAAACATAATGTAATCTCCGATACCCACACATGCCTGAGCTCTCAAACACACACACAAACATTTGCGGTTTTCTTTATCAATGCGTACGAGACGACTGCGGCGGTGTTGGTGGGGTGACGTCATGCAATTGTCATCGCTGTCACGGCTAACGAGCGGCACTCGTTTACTGTTCTTGGTTATACTACACGATTTTTATAATCGTTTATTTCAACAAATATACGTAGTCATGTATTGACGAATTCTTGACTTTAAATTTCAAAATTAAATCATTATTTGCCACGAATACACAAATATGGTAATATGATACCTCAAAGACTTTGGCGTTGAACTCTCCTTGATCCAATATTTTTTATTCGATTTTCAGCACAAAACAATCAATTGAAACCTGTTTAAACCAAATTTCGTATCTCTACCATACTCTTGACAAACAAGGACAGTACATTAATTAAATTACAAATACAACTCCATGCTCCATTGCTGTTTTCCTACCATGTCAAGTGGCATTGTAGTGGGGGCATGGTTTTCCACTTTTTTTTAATATTTTTTTAATTTTTAATAATTAGTGCACGGGTAATTTTAGAAGATTCATAAAAAAACTATGTACTATTCCAAAATATGATAATTATTTAAGTATTCCTCGGTATACTGTTATTTCTGGATAAAATCAATTGTACCTTATAATTATCTTCTTCTGTAGTCCTAAAAACGTGTATGTTAAAAATGTTAGAATGATCAGTTGAGAAGTAAAAGGCGTGAATGTGTAACAAATAAACTCACATTTGCTGTAATACTAAATAGCTTTTGTCTATGACACTGCTCGCGTTCTACATTAACTCGTGCAGAATTATAGATTCAGGTATTTTCCGGTAACACTATTCTTTTTTTAAAGAAAGGTACCCATGATTTTCACAAGATGAAAGATTGAGTAGTTAAGACATGACAGGAGTGGTATTATAGTTTCTTTTATATTATAGAATACACTAATATAGTACTATATTTTAGAATCTGGAAGGCAAAATAATTTGATTCAGCACGTTAAATCTCCACCCAGGGCTATCAGACTTTTTTAAATTACTTACAGTTAAAAAAAAAAGTTTTTTTTTTCAATAAGTTCAAAAAAACATTTAATTGTTAAAATGCGTAGGATGCTAGATCTCAGTTGTTGTAAAAATAGTAATTGACAGATAATGGTAACGTAGAGTTTTTTTATTATAAAACATCTTAAAAAACAAAGAAACCTCTCATTCATAATTTACCATACGCACAGGACCAGTAAAAATGTTATATTAGTATGCGTACCATAAACTAATTTTTCGTTTGACATTGAATATGTTGATACAATTGGCTTTGACAGGTGTCAAACGATACATAGATATATATATATATAGATAACACACTCGTGAGCAAGCACGTGGTCGAACAAGTGGACTTAAAAAGTTACTTTCTTTTTCATTGAACTTGACATGGGTCGAACTCTAACGCTATGACACAGCTATACAAAACGTTTTGCTGATGTCATAGGCATGCGAGTTAGCGCCTCGTTAACATGTGCCAAGTTTTGTATTTTTTTTATGCATTTAACTATTGAATTCTTACATATCTTTAATTTTGACTGCACGGATGGCGTAGTGATTTAAGCGGTCACCACGCCGCTTTCTACTACGCCGAGTGTTGTGGGTTCAAACCCCACATGGGACGACACTTTGTGTGATCCACAAATTGTTGTTCTGAGTCTGGGTGTTCTTTGTGTCCGTTTCATGTATGTTTGTAAAGTCCCCCGCGACACAGGATATATTCCTAATGCGGGAGTTGTCTTTTTAAAAACAAAACAAAAAATATCATATTTAAACATGGATGGATTGTGGTTCCACCTAGTAACACATATATACACATATACTAATACGTTTATGCAGATTTTTCCTCAAATCACCACATTTTGCTTAACTTTTGAATACACGATGCTCAACTCCTTAGTACTGAAATACTTTGATTTGGTACAGTACCTCATTAAAACAGTTCGGTAACTAGGGTTCTCGTTCCTCTGAGCTTCACCTTGTACTTTACCTTCCGCAAAATTCAAGGACGACACTTGATTCGGGTTCTCAAGTCTCTTTTTCACTGGGAAGTGACACGGTCGTCGGACGGCTGTGAGACCTTGCCTCCTCCCCCTACACTCCGCGCCACCGTCCGATGACGTCAGCTGCGCCATCTTGGGACAGTGACGCGTTGCTTGGCAACCACACGCGTCGCACATAGACAGGTTGTATCACTGGTATCACAAATTTTAACACGCTAATTGTACCTTATAAAGGTATGTGAACAAATTTCCCCGGAGTTGCATATTACATTTAACATACCTTTTTTGGGAGTTTCTAAATTCGAAATCACCATTTTTAAATAGGCACCCACTATCGATTTAGCGCTTTTAGAATATTGAGCATGTGGTGTAAATTCTGATTTGGTTTTAATGGGCCTTACGTATGATGTATGATTAGCTTTTGTTTGTTTTTAGTACCTTATTTATTTTTGGAAAACCAAATCTTAAAAGATAAACAGAATGGAGCTTTTATCGTAAACCTACAGTGTAATTTTTAATTACATATATTATGTGTATATATATAGTATCCATTTCTTTTATCACTCAACATTACTACCTATTAATTGTTCAAGAACTTCCCACGCAAGTACGCGATACCTACAAAAATACTTATTATATGTAAAAAAAGTAATAAAAATAAATTATTTTACATAATATTCTAAAATTAGCAAAAATATAATATTTAGGTAAATTTAGAAAAATACATTGCTGTTGTTTGAGTTCATGCTCATCTTACCGTGCTTAATCTATTTTTAGACTATTCAAAGTGAATTAATTATTTTTTGAACCTTCCAATTTATTTTTAATTGAAGTTCTTGCTGGATTTAAAAGAATTTAGTAGTTTTAAGCTTGAGGGACATACTGTCTTGGGAACCATCCCACAACATGAATGCATCCCATCACCTTTTGTCGTTTTCATCATTTTGTCAATAAATAACTCTAGATGACATTTCTGTCATCTTTCTTTGTTTGATTATTTTCGCATCAAAGTATTCTACACTGTTACTTACACAGTCGAATATCATTTAAGTGAAGTCTAAATCGTGAACTCGTCCTTGTTGTGACGGATTAAGAATACGGAGTGTCGTAAAAGTCGAGAAGTCGTAGTTTGCTCCCAACTACGCAGGACAACAGCACTGCAAACAGAAGGAAAACTTGAAACAAACCCTATACTAAACCGTGTGGCGTAGGCTGTTGATGTGATGTGATGATGTGAACCAATATTTATTTCGTTCGCCTACTACAAAATAATGCTGCAAAATATGTATTTACTCAGAATTCTAGCACTGCTCATTACTATCTGTTTTAGGTGTAAGTGTGGAATTTACGTTTCTCTGAAATATGGTTCATTTTGTATATTTGTATTGTGTACTTGTACTTATAGCGTATATACGTCTATTGCATTTTTGATATAATAACATAAATATAATCCGTATTATTAACCATTTTCTTCTAAAATACGATTAAAACATAATAGACATAGATCAATTAAGATTTTTGTTGTGAAATTGCAAAAGTTACCTTTTGATACTATACTATACAAAGGATCACAATGATGATAATCATAAAATAAAAAAAGTGTAAAAGTATTCTACAGTCAGCTTTACTTAGTTTGAAACTAGATGGCGTTGTGTGTCATATGTCGAGCAATATTATTTTTATTATTATAAGAATAATATTGCTATGCTATACTATCTTTTATAATATGACGTCATGCAAACTTAATTAAACTCAAATAAATTAAAAAAATTAAATGTAAGAAAAAGCACGATTATTTCCACTTTATACCAAAAAAAATATTGCGGTATTTTAAAGTATTTGAGGGAAGCAGAGCATGTATTATGCATCTTAATTTTTTTTCAGCGTATGTAATTTTAAATTTAATTAACCATTTTGACCTCCATTGAAACCTCCTTTCTAAGGAGAGGCTTATGTCGAGCAGTGGACTGTTAAAGGCTGTTGATGTGATGTGAACCATTTTGAGATTTCAAGATATCAAAATCGGCCAGTTTAACTGGTATAAAGTATTAAAAAAATCATTCAATGTAAGGATATATAAATAAGGGCCTTGATCTTATTATCTAAGAGTGCAAGTTGTCTTGTGACACAAATATTCGCGGTAAGCATAGAGCAGTTATACACCGAACAACGGCCTATTGACCGATAATAAGATCATGATTATGACGCAATAAATAAGTACTAGGCATTCACTTACTAATTATATTATCACTAGCTTTTGCCCTAGGCGCGGGCAATTATTGCGATTGCGCCTAGGCCCGTGTGAAATCGACATTCACACGGGCCTAGGCGCAATCGCAATAAAAAGTAGCCTATGTTACTCGCTGATAATGTGGCTTTTCATTGGTTAAAGTTTTTTTTTTAAATCGGTTTAGTAAAAATTATGAAGGCTTCTAAACTTTCTAAAGTTCTTTTTGCTTCTAAAGTTTAATAGAACAAATGTCGAATGCAGCTCTCAGAAAATTAAAAAAGCTTCAAAACATTTCCTTCCACACTAAGGTAGATATTACCTATTTTGTGTTGTATACCTACTCTTCTTCCTGGTTAATTTTCTAATGATTCTATTATTAATAGCTACTATTAAAAGTCATAATGTGTTTGTTTGTATGTGCTCGTAGTGTTTCGTCCGTTCCGTCTTCTACTCTCTATTTCGAACTTTTTTATCTCTTTATCTTCTGTTAGTCTCGCTTTTCCATAAAAAATGTTACATAAAGGTTTCAATTATTTTCAACTTGTCGCGAGTGAGCCGAGTCAACAATCTTTGATGTAAAACTCTAAAACGATTCTTATTAGTGCCATCCCTATTTTTCACTAACAGTTTTGTAAATTAATTCTGACATTTTGCATGCTGCCTTTTTCCTGTGATCATTTTGATCCTCTGATTTGTACAGGGCAAAAACGTTAAGAATTTATGTAAATGCAAACATTTTAGTACATTAATGTTGGATGTATTTATTGCAATTTGTCCTGTGACAATAGGATAAATCCACAATAACACAATACCTAGAATTCCCCATCATAATTGATGCGTCACTGGTAAATGTTGTCAAGTAAAATAATTTCGCTTTAATTTTATTATCTTGAGAGAATACGCTTATTATTTATGCTTAATGGGTTTCTTTTAAATTTATTAATGTACATAAGTATAATAATTATGTATGTAACTATGACCTCAGTTTTTGGCTGTAAGATGATTCCACTTACCTCACTAGACATATTAGTGTGTATAACTAAGGAATGTAATATAGTGAAGAGTGAACATTTTCTTCTTTTAATTTTAAACAAAAAAAGGCTTAAATGTATAGCAATAACATTTAATGCTTAAAAATTTGACAAACTTCTATTGATTAATCAAGTTCAGTTAAAAATTAACGTAAATAAAGCTCATTCCTTTCAAATTAAAATACAATTGCTTGCTTATAGCCGATAACAAAAGTACAAAAGAAAATAATAAATATCTGAATACTAACAAAATAAATATTGAATAAAGTATTACTTAAATAATATTATGTAAATCGAAAATATGAATTGGTATATGAATAATGATTAGGGTTTTAGCCTGATTTCTCGAACCAGTCAAGTCCAGTCAATGTCTATGTATCACCTGCCCATATAATTAAAAGTCATGAATAACTATATGCAATGAGTCCTCACATAAACAGATTAGGGAGAAAAAAATATAGTAAGAAGAGTTTAGTTAATTATAAATACTCTAAAAATGAATCCCAAGTATTAGCCTTTTGACACTTCAGTAAACGTCAGCGCACAGTCATAGTTGAACTCAATTGTAGTTAGTTATCAAACTCAACTTTTTCCTTGTAACCAGCTCGCAATATACCTAAGGTACTTAATGGTTTAGTGAGCCTAAGGCAATTTATTTTATATTTTATTGTACATATTTAAAATTGAATCAGTCTCTAATTTGTTTCTGTGTTGTTTTTCATTATTCAAAGTCAATTTGAAATACATTTGTGGGAGTAGCTTTTCAGAAATATGAAAATATATTCTATGTTTTTTTTTGTTATCAAACTCATAATGAAAAATTGTTTTTGTCAGAATAGTTGATTAAATAGTGAGTAGTTGGCTGCGTAGTTGGCTTTTACGACACCCATGGGTTGAATAGACGTAGTGCCATTCCGTATTCTTAATCTGTCACCTCTATTTTTACTTTATTTGATAAATTTTTGCAAAAGCTACTCCAAAGAGCAAGAATCTTTTTAAGTTGTAATTCAATTTTACTGACATGACAATGGAGTGTTTCCTTTTCGTGCGAAATATTTTTTTTTGACTTCGGAACGATTGCTCACCTAATTTGAATGCAACAAAAAAAGTTAATAGGTGCATATTTAGATATTCTTATTTTTTATTTATATCTGTAATTGTGTATGTACTTACCTATATCTTTTGTAAAAAATCATTAACGTTTTAAATCTGAGCAATTACGACATGTCCTTATGATTATTGTCTTCGATAAATAGTAATTATCTTCTAGTTTCTCCCTTAATGCTGTACAGCCATCATTACCCAATAAAATATTCATTTTCTAACAGCGTCGAAGTCTCAGTAAATACAAGTTACACATGCAAATTGCTCCCGAGGGCTCGTTAAATGCCTAATAATTATTCGCCTTTACACCTTCGCAAACGTTTTATTACACCATTTCCCTCTTTCTTCTTCTTTTCCTTAAATATTTTTATTTATTTTTGTCTTTGCGTGTTTACGTGAAACGCCACAAGTTTTATAAAAAGAATGAGTCAGATAATTGTGATAAACGTCCTTCTTCTTTTGACAACCTAAGGCTGATGATGTACAACGTATTATGCATATGTATACAAATTTATTTTATAAATTTTGTTATTCATTTAACTCATGAAGTCGATGACCATCAGATATCACTATTCGTATTCGCAATTTTATATAACATAGTGTATTGTATGTGGAGTTTAAATAAATACTACTGAAACAAAAACGAATTTAAAAAAAAAACACATTCAAATCACATTTTCCGATAATTTCATTTCACGTTCGCAAAACGTGTATACATAGGTACCAATTAAGTACCCAGGACTTACACGTGCCAGCACACATACGCTGATCTCCCTATACGTCACACTCACGTGTGTGCGTGGGCAGGATTG